TGGCCTTCGGGGCAGTGCCTGGTTTCTGCTGCAGATCAGCCCCACGAGTCGGCTCAGCCAGGAGGTTGTGCTGGACATTGGTTGTCCCTATGTCCGCTTCCACACTGAGGTAGAAGGGTCAGGGTAGTGGCCTTCTTTTCCAGATGGGGCTGGTGAGGAGACCTAATGGCCTTCCCTTGTCCTCGTGCTCCATTCCACTCCCAGGTGCACTGGCATGAGGCCCACAAGTTCCTGAAGGTGGAGTTCCCTGCTCGCATACGGAGCCCCCAGGCTACCTACGAGATCCAGTTTGGGCACCTTCAGAGACCTACCCACTATAACACCTCTTGGGACTGGGCTCGATATGAGGTCAGACATGGGGTCGAGGGAAAGGGTAGGACTTGGACTCATCCCTGACTGAGGAGAGACTCGTTTTTGTGATTTTTGGGCAAGAGGAAGAAAATGCCGGATACCTGTGCTTCCTACCACGGGCCAGGCGTTTGCTAAATGCTTCTCTCTGCTGTGCCCCCATAGCCACTGTTAGCATTTCACAGACAGCGGGCAGACGGGTGGGATGGCGTGCCCAAAGCTCCTTGAGTGTCCGCTGGGATTCAGCCGTGGGCTCCTACTGCAAAGAGCGTTGGGGTAGAGCCACCCACAGGCCTTGGGTCTGCCCTTCAGGTGTGGGCGCACCGCTGGATAGATCTGTCTGAGTGTGGCTTTGGGCTGGCCCTGCTTAACAACTGCAAGTATGGAGCGTCGGTCCGAGGCAACGTCCTCAGCCTCTCGCTGTGAGTGCAGTGCCTGCCGGGCCCAGGGCTGGCGTGGTGTGGGGCTTCCTGTGTGAGAGCTCCAGCCCTTCCTCCCCCCCCCACTCCAGCTTGCGTGCACCCAAGGCCCCGGATGTTACTGCTGACATGGGGCGCCATGAATTCACTTATGCCTTGATGCCACACAAGGGTAAGTACCAGGGTGATGGGCCCTTCTGTTGCTCTTGGCACCTCCTTGCCCTTTCCTGAACCTCCAGCAGGCACTGGGGTAAACTGAGGCAGCCTAGCCCCATAGCTCCTCCAGAGGCACTGTGGGGAACTCGCGTTGTCCACATGTGTTTCTTTCCGGTCATTCCCCAGGTTCCTTCCAAGAAGCTGGTGTCATCAATGCTGCCTACAACCTCAACTTCCCCCTGCTGGCACTGCCAGCTCCAGGCCCGGCCCCTGCCACCACCTGGAGTGCCTTTTCTGTGTCTTCGCCAGCAGTAGTGTTGGAGACCATCAAGCAGGCAAGGGGCGGGAGAGTCTAGGGAGGTCCCTGGGATGCGCAGGTTCTTGGCCCCGCCTACTGCCCTGCCTTCCTTTGGCAGGCCGAGAAGAGCCCCCAGCACCACCGCACACTGGTCCTAAGGCTGTACGAGGCCCACGGCAGCCACGTGGACTGCTGGCTGTACACATCTTTGCCCGTTCAGGAGGCCATCCTGTGAGTGGAGACGGGAGAGGTTGGGGGTGGGGAGCCCTGCCCGTGTCAGCCCTTACGGCCTCCCCTTTCCTCCATCCAGCTGTGACCTCCTGGAGCAGCGAGACCCTACAGGTCACCTGTCCCTGCGGGACAACCGCCTGAAGCTCACCTTTTCTCCCTTTCAAGTGAGGTCCCTGTTGCTCACGCTGCAGCCTCCCCCGAACTGAATCGTCATGTCGGTGGAAAGCTTTGGGAACTCCTCCTTTCCACCTGCCCAGCCCCCAACAAGCATCTGTGCAATAAATGCTTAGACTGGCAGCCCTGTGCTTGAGCCCCGCTCGCCCCTTAGGGCCACTCTTAGGCCCGAAAGGAGGATGGAGAGAGCTGCTTTCCAGGGGCAAGAGCTGGGGTTACCTGTGTGTGCAGGGGTTACCTGTGTGTGCAGGGGTTACCTGTGTGTGCAGGGCCCCATCTCAGAGACTGGAGACCCTGAGATAAAGGGTTCCTCCCGTGGTAGCAGCAGAAGGGCTACAGCTGGACACGAGGCCTGGAGGCTGCCACCACCCTACACACACACACACACACACACACACACACACATACACACACACACCCCTTCCTATCCCAGCACCCTCAACTGGGAGGAAAGCTTTGGGCAAGTGTTAGGCTGGGAGTGCAGCCAACCATAGGCCCTGAAGAATCCTGGACTGCAAGAGCTCTGACACCTGGATTGCCTGAGCCCGGGTCTGCAGAGGGGCTGGCCGTGCAGAGGCAGAGTGTCCTCTGATTGAGTCTTGTGGGAGTGGGGGTGGAAGGCAGGGGTTATATTTATAAATAGGTGGGGCCATGCAGCCAGCCTTTCCAACCTGGCCTTCCCATACCTCATGCAGCCAGCCCAAAGGTTCAAATTCATTAGTGTGTTAATGTTTTTCACATGGGCTTTTTAAAAATGTGGAAGGTGGAATATATTTATAAAATCACAAGCCAGGAGGTGGTGGCCCATGCCTTTAATCCCAGCACTCAGGAGGCGGAGGCAGGCAGATCTCTGAGTTCAAGGCCAGCCTGGTCTACAGATCAAGTTCCAGGACAGCCAGGGATACACAGAGAAACCCTGTCTTGAAAAGACAACAAAAATCAGCAGGGTGTGTGTGGCTCACACCTGTAATCCCAGCAATTATGGAAATGAAGGCAGGAAGATCAATCAGGAGTTCCTTGTCATCCTCAGGTACACATGAGCTCAAGGCCAGCCTAGGATGTATGAGACCCTGCTTCAAAAAGGTTGTGCAGGAAAAGTCACAGGGCCTGGGGTACACCGCCCTACCAACACAGCCTCCAGGGATCAGACGCCCCTAGATTCACAGCAAGGCAGCAGGGAAGGACGCACCAAGCAAGGGAACCTCCCTCTAGGAGGCTGAAGTTCCCCCAGCCTCCCGGGATCGGGTATCAGCCTTGCTCTTCCAATCAGCCTTGCTCTTCCTGGGTCTGCGGCCACCTGTGGGGAGAGCAGGGGAGGCAGGGCCACCTGTGGGGAGAGCAGGGGAGGCAGTGACTGTGTGTCCTGTACTAGGCCTTCTTCCCTCTGCCCACCCTGTTACCTCCCAGCCTCCCTGAAGAGCCACTCCCCGGGGTCCCTTTCCAGCTCCAGGAGGATGTTGAAAAAGGTCCACCTGTGGTTTCCGGTCGCCCCCTTCTCTTTCCTTTCGTGGGGGCTGTGGGGGTTTCCCGGTTTTGTTGGAGGCTGGTCCCTTCAGACTGCTGAGCTATACTCTTAGGAGGGTGTTTCCTGGCCCTCCGAGTCCTGGAAATGGACTCGCCTGAGAGCGGCCGGTCCTGGATAGAGAAGATGGTCCTTACTAGCTTTTCTTCCCAGCAGTTAGGATCTACTGCTGACGTTCCCCACCATGCACCCACACCCCCTTGAGAGGGAGTCAGCTGGCCAGGAGCCTGGCCTGAGAAGTGGGGTTGACCGGAGTAAGTGCAGGGGAGGCAGGGGCTGGGCTCATACCTCTTCCGTGTCTCCAGCCCCCGGCTGTGTCTCCCGTGGCTTCTTTTTTCGGGACCTGCCCCCTGGAGGATGTTGTACTGGACTTAGCCCTAGGACTTCCGCCCCTCTCTAGACTCTTAGTGCTGGGCGACTCCAAGGTTGGAGAGAGATGGGAGGATGGGTGTGCAAGGCCGGCCCATGGTCCTTCCAGCTCTCTATCTCTTACATCAAGAGCTGCTTACCTTTGGGTGCCAAGGGTCCGGGATCACCCTAAAATGGAATGAAGACAATTCTGGAGTCAACCTGGTCTGGTGAAGGGGCAGTTTTCCTTGGAGCGGCAAGGCCATATCCTTTCAGATCAATATAGTTCCCTGTCTAGGAAGTTCCTCCAACCCCTACACACACACACACACACACACACACACACACACACACACACACACACACACATTAGCTGCTTTGAGCTGTTCTACTGGCCTGGACCCTGGGGTTCCAAGGAGAAGAGCATCACATGGAGAACTATACACTCAGGAACAATGCGATCTTTGGCAGGCCTCCACAGGCTAAGGTCATCTCTGCCTGGCTCAGACCTCTACCTCCTATCTTGTTACCCCACCAGCTCTTCTAGGGTCTCCATTTGCCCTTGTGAGCAGTAGGGTTCGAACCTGGAACCAGATGGTACGGCCATGCCGGTCTCGCAGGGAACTCATGCCTGGCACGCCATAGCACTGCAGCCAGGCTCGAAAGGCAGCAAAATCTTCCTCTCCACGGTCTGGCCCGTAGCCTTTGCCCCCTGAGGGACAGAGGAACCAGTCAGAGGTGAGAGGATGCTGTGGAGTGGGGGGAACAAGGAGTCTGGTTCAACATGGCTCAGACCTCAGCTAAAGAAGCTGATGGACTGAGTCAGGGCCACACTACCTCCCCCAACACTCTGGGTCCTGGTCCCTCTCCATCAGCAAGGTGAATCCTGTCCCTCCTGCAGCATGGAAGGCTAGGAAATTTACTAAGAGACCTGGTCTGTTTAGCAAACTCCCATTCCCTAGGGCCAGGATGACAGCTGCCCAGCATCACACAGAGGCTGAAGCAGAAATCACTGGCCATCTTGGCTTCCCCAGGCCTCACCCAGCTGGACCACTTCCTTGGGCACCAAGTGACACAGTTCCAGCAGGTCTGGGTTCTACAGTTTGACCTTGATCTTCTGGCTCAGGGTCAGCTCTGGGCTCTGAAGGGGGTGTGGGCAGAACCAAGGTATTAACGAAGGGAACTCACCCCACCTCATACTGAGGACAATGGACTTCTGCTTTATGCTTGGCAAGACTTTAATGTGGTTCACACCCCTTCCACACACTTGATGAGCTAAGGTAAGAGATACCTGACTCTACACATACCCTTGCCACCCACACCAGCGTGTGCGCACACACACACACACACACACACACACACGCTTGTACACCGTCCTCACCAGCCGGGACTGCTGCAGGGCCTCTAGAACTGTCCGGGCCTTCTCGAAAGGGGGAATCTTCAGCCTGGGATGGTGGAACGGGCCCAGGCTAAGTAGTGGATGTGATCACCCATGCCCCACCCCAGCCATTGTGCCCACAGCCTGTCTGCTGACCGGTACAAGATCTCTGCCCGAAGATAGTTGCCAATGCCATTGAAGAATCTCTGGTCCAACAAGGCCTCGCAGATGGGCCGGTCAAAGGCTTTGTTTGACAGGTTCCGAAGTACGTTGTCCCTGGAAGGACACAGGCGGATGCATGAGACTCATCCCACACCCCGGGGTAGGGATGAAGGGCTGGGGAAGCAGTTCTGAGTGCAAGGAGAAACGGTCCCAGCTTCCTCTGGTCTCGGTACTATTTGGGCAGCTGGAGCCTCCGTTCTCCCATTTGTGACATGGGAACAACATGGGGTTGTTTATTGTTGAAGAATCAAAAATGTTCCGCTAGGCCTGGTGGTTCACACCTGAAATCCCAATACTTGGGGGGTCAAGACAGAAAGACAGAGGCAGTTTGGGGCCAGCCTTACCGACACAGCTGATCCCAGGCCAGGGAGGGCTATAAAATAAGACCGTGTGTGTGTGTGTGTGTGTGTGTGTGTGTGTGTGTGTGTGTGTGTGTGTGTGCACCAAGGTGTGAAGGATCTGCCTGCAATCACAACCCTGAGGCAGTAACCCTGCTGCCTTGAGTATGTAGCAAATACCAGGCCATCCTGGTATACAGAGTGAAATCCTGTCTCGACTTGTCCCTACTCCCTTAAAATATGAAGGAATGGCTGAGTGGTGGGTGACAAGAAGTTCTAAGAAAAAGAGCAGACGCTTCTGTGGGGTGCTGACCCCCCCCCCAGGCATCTGGAGGACTATGGAAACAGCTATGAGGTCATCAAGAGATGAAACAGAACCTGTTGGCAAGCAGCCTGTGGCCCCAACTCCCCAGGAAAGATGAAGCAGAGATAACCCAGGGCTATGGACAGTGGTTTTCCTGCGCCAGCCAGGAGTCAACTGTTTCTGTGACACCAGAGATGTGACCAAGTCTAGGGCTCAACAGAGGCACAAAATCTGTTCCCAGGAAGAAAAATGAGAATGTGCCAGGTCCACCCCAGGCCTGCACACCTGCATTTCTTGCCAAGACTCTCATCTAAGAACACAGCTGGTTCCCTCCACACTGGCCAGAAGATGATCTCAGCTCAAAGATCATTTCCCTCAGGTGGCCATTCCTGATGTGCTCCCCACCATTGGGCAAAGGTCTGTGAATTTATTTTGTGTGTCCTGACCACTGCCTTACCTGCACATCATCAGTGCAGTGAACGAAGGGACCACACTCACCCTGTCCGCTGCTGCTCCCTACAGGGCCTGCCTTGGAGCAGTGGCTTTCTTTAGAGGAAAGTACTGATAACAGAGACAGTCAGAGGAGACCCCAGGACAGAGATGGGTGGGCAGGTAGAATGTGAGGACCACCAAGACCTGACTTCCGGTCACTAGACCACCCTCTCCACTGTGCAGGCTTGTCTCGTAAGGTCCCTCTACTGTCCTTGATGGCCCGGGGCCACCAGGAAGCAAAGTGGGGTGCTGGGCCCCACCCAACTCTAGCGCTGTTCCGTGTCTGGGACCTCTGACTGTCCTCCTCCTCTGGACTGCCCTCTCTCACACTTTTGCTGCCCTGACACCCCTCAATCCACAGATGGGGGACTGAGGCTCAGGAGGGTTAGGATCTGTCTCTTGAGGGCCTGGATGGTACTCTACATACCCGGTCCTACCTGAACCGTTCATACTCCAGCAAGACACAGGGTCCACGGCCTGGCTGCCATTCACCCCCAGGGTCCCAGTGGCCAAAGCGTCGGATGTCCACGAAGCAAAGGGCAAGCCGGGGGGCGGGGGGGGCCGTGTAAAAACGTAGATGGGCATGGGGCGGCAGGGCATCTGCAGGTGCCAGCTGGAAGGATCCAGACATACCGAAGCGGAAGACAAGGGACAGTGGCTTCTGAGGGGGCTGGGCACCAGGCAGGGGGCTCAAGGTCAGGCGCAGCTCCTTGCCTCGGGCTAAGGCTGAGATATGGTAGGCACTGCTCTCAAAGGGCACCTCAGGGTTGCGGCTGACAGAGGACTTCTCCACACACCCACCAAACACCAGCCCCTTACACGTCTCATTTACAAAACAGCTGGCAAGGTGCAGCTCTGGGCCCTCGGGCATTCTGAAGGAGGAATGGCGGCCCCTGTAGAGGGAAGAGGACAACAGGTTGTGCCAGAAGATACCTGTTACGTAGAAATTGTCACCAAAGCTTTACAGAGTAAAAGGCAGAGAGGCACGCGGCCGTCTAGGATGGGCAGGAAAATGCTGACCTAGACACAGCCCCCGTTTCCCATCCAAAGTGCTGGCAAGGACAGGGTACCGGGAGGCTGAAGCTGGAAGGCAGGGCGGCTGTCTTGCTCACTAATGCCTTCCCTCCATGGGCTCCCACACCTGGTTGTAGAACACAGTTCAGATCTTTGCTGGAGCCTGATACCTTGTGTCCCCTGAGCTCACCCACCCACCCACAAACCTGTTCCTCCCATCTCCAGGCCTTTGCTCCCACTGTCCCCACACCACACACAGTAGGACGTTTGAGGGAGGCTTTCTTTCTCCCCATCCACATCTTGACTTCAGAGCTCCCAAAGTTCAAAGGTTCCAGCCTCTCCCTGCTGGCACCCCAAGACAAAGATCTGATCATTCATCAACCACAGCTTAGACTGGCCCTGAATCTCTCTAGCATCCGTGGAGGTAGAAACTCAACTGAGTGTGGGGCCAGCAGCAATAGACCTAGCCTGCTGCTATCACCACAACGACAGGACAGCCAGGGCAGGGAGCAGAACTAGGAGGAGGGAATGCTCCATTTGTGTATAGCCCTGTTCTTAGGGACCCCAGGGGTGGGGTGGGGTAGGTACAGTGTGGGTGCCAGGAGGGACCGGGATCTGGTTCTTTGCCCTCACACCCTCACATCCTCTTTGCTACTTGCAGGATTTGGGGTGAAGGTACTTGTCAGGAACACGGGCGGTTTAGCTAGGGCAGATGCCTCGGCACCAAAACGGGTTCGGTGAGCAGAAAACCTTCGGAGCCCTAGTTTTACGAGGAGGCGGAGCTCACTATTGCACCCCACTCCACCTCCACCTCCACACACACACACACACACACACACGCGCGCACACACATACACACACACACACACAAAATCTTGGGTTCCCTACCTGCCCAGGCTCCCAGATACTTTAGATTTTCAGTTCCACTGAGAACCCGTATCGAACCCATCCAAACTGGATACCTGCTCTGGTTGAAGCTCAAACGAAGCTGCAGCCACTAAGGGGTAAATCACAGCGTCCTGCCGAACCTCAGAGCACGCTGGGAGAGGACGTAGCCGCCCTGGCCCCTCCTGGGAAATGTAGTTCCTCGGGCAGGAGGCGCAGAATGGAATGGAGTTCTTCAGTTACCGGGATCCCGGGTGTTGGGCAAGCTTTGGGGCAGTCGCGTGGCCCGGAGGTGGCGAAAGAACCCGTCTTACGGTGAGCAGAGCCGCAGTCAGAACTGGTGCCCGGAGTCGCAGCTGTCTGCAGTTGAGGTTGCCAGTTAGTCTGGCCAGGGTTGACACCCGCAGCCGGAAACGGCAAGGACCGGGTAGAGCCACCTGCAGCTGTGTGCAAGACATACACAGGTGCATGATAAACAACCCCTGGGGACCCAAGATGACCGTAAATGTGAATGCAGTCAGACATAACATATAAACAACATCATCACTGCCCGCGGAGCGGAAAGTGAATCAGGCAATAACAGGGGCTTTTAAAATTGAATCCGCTTAAGAGGGTTCTGTGGGGGAGGGGCTCTGTGGCAGCCTTAGGTAAAGCCAGGATTTAGGCACAAAAGCTTGTTTGGTCTGACTGTCACAACCGCAGACACAAAAAGGGTAGACAAGATACTTTTTTTGCCAGGCACAACGGATCAATGCAAAGTGCAGGAACAGAACTTGAGGAAGTGCTGTGGGGTGGGCTGTGGGGGGTGGGCTAGGTTGAGGACAAGAGAAGGGGGAAGTACTGTTAGGGCTGAGCCTCAAAAAGCCCTGGGAGGTGGAAGTAGAAGGGTTAAAAAGTATACAAGAGAAAGAAAGCCTCTGCAGGGTACTTTGCATTTTCCCTGTGCTGACCAACAGCCAGGGTTTGCCCTTCTATTTATTTACTTCTTGCTTTTTTTTTTTCCAGGTGAGGAAGGTTAAAGAGAGGGTCTTGCTATGTATTCATGATTGGCCTGGAACTCAAACTGGCCTCCAATTTATTCTAATCCTCCTTCCTCTGCCTCCCCAGTAAGAACGGGGCTTATAGGTCTGGGCCACTGTGGTGGTGTGAATGAGAATGGCCCCCATAGGCTGCTTATTTTTTGAATACTCTTTTGAATACTTGAAGGAACTGTTTGGGAAGCATTGTAGAAGGTGTGTATCTGGGGGGTGGGTTTTGAGGTTTCAAAAGCTCACACCCTTTCCAGGTAGCCCCTCTCCTCCCCCCCCCCTCCTCTCCCCCGGCCTCCTGCTTGTGTCTTAACATGTAAGCTTTCAGCTTCCGTCCAGTGCCACGCCTGCCTTCCAGACGCCATGCTCCTGGCCACGATGGCCATGGACTCACCCTCTGAAACTGTGAGCCCCACCCAAGTCTTCTGTAGGTTGCCGTCCTTGGTCATGGTGTTTTGTCACAGCGATAGGAAAGTAACTAAGGCATCCACTAGGCCTGGCTCGACTATGAGTTTTTAAAAAGGGTTGTTTTGTTTTTAGTTATATAAGTGTTGGCCTACATGTATGTCTGTGCTCCATGTGCCTGTCTGGTGCACTTTGAGGCCAGAAGAAGGCATCAGATCGCTGGAACTAGAATTACAGAGGGTGCTGGGAACCAGACCTGTGGCCTCTGAAAGAGCAGCAAGTACTTTTACCTGCTGTATCATGTCTATCCCTGAAGTAGGAGGGGGTTTTACATTTTGTTTTGTTTTGTGTTTTTGAGACAGGGTCTCACTATATAGCCTTAGCTGACCTGAAACTTGCTGTGTAGACCAGGCTGGCCTCAAGGTCACAGAGATCCACCTGCCTCTGCTGGGATTAAAGGTGCGTGCTGCCACACCTGGCTGAGTGTGACAAATACACATAATTATACAGCTGCTCCCCACACTCAGGAGATAATACCCATGAAAGCATACATACAGCAGCCTCAGAGAGGAAACCACCTCAATAGCTATCTGTGGATACATAGATTTTTAAAACATGTGGTATATATACTGGGCTGGAGAGAGCTCAGTGGTTAAAGCACTCCTTCCATACTCAGCCAGTCGTAATGATCTTCCCAAGACCATGACCAAGTTTGGTTCTCAGCACCCACATCTGGCAACTCGCCACTAGCTCCAAGGGCATCTGAAACCTCTGGTCTCACCAGGCAGTTGTACTCACGTGTGAGAACATGAACTGCCGAGCACACGTGTGCATGTGCACACACACAGATTATAAAGACAAATCTTAAGAAACGTAGCACACGGGATATAAGCAGAGTGGAATATTATTCACTGCCTACCACAGGCAGCTGCATAGATAAGCTTGAGGACATTATGCTAAGTGGTAGATCAGTCACAGAAGGACCAACACTGAGATCCCATTTATATGGGGCATCTAAATCAGTCAAACACACAGAAGGGGTGAATAGAATGGTTGTAGAAAGGAGGGAGAGGAAGTTGATAGGGAGAAAGTTTCAGTTGCCCAAGATGAATACGTGCAGCATGGGATCTGTAGTTAGCATGGTTGTACAACACCACTTCAAAGGGGTGGCTCTTGTGTATTCTTTTTATTATATTGGTGCTGTGACGTGTATACAAAGGGTAGCACTGTGTACAACAATGCATCCATATGTGGAGGTCAGGGGCCAGCTTGCCGGGTCAGTTCTGCTGGTTGAAGCAGTCCTCTCTCGTTTACACTGCTGTGCTGTCCTCCAGCCCGCTGTCCCCAGAGCTTCCGGACAGTTCTGTCTCCACCTCCCCTTAAGAGGGCTGAGATTATAAATGCTAGCTATGACGTCCTGCTGTTTACATGGGTTTCCAGGGTCAAAAAGCAAGTACCTGTGCTGCGCCATCTGTGTTAACAGCTCCTGTCACATTATAGGGAGTCTGTTTTATCTTCTACTCCCAAACTTGCCCATGCCATTGTGCTTACTAGCTCATTCCTCTTGAAAGTCAAAATACTCTCTTGTGTAGCCACTTTGTTTATGCAGTTACCACCTGGGGGCATCTGGGATGTGACTGATGGTTTCTTCAGGACTATGCAAATATCCACTTTCACATCAACATTAAAAATTTTTTTTTTTTAAAGACAGAGCCTTACTATGTAGCCCTTGCTTTCCTAGAACTGGCTGTGTAGACCAGTCTGGCTTTGAACTCAGAGACTCACCTGCCTCTGCTTCAGGAGTGTTGGGATTAATGATCTCGACTACCACAGCCAGCTTTGTTGTTGTTGTTGTTTCGTTTTTGGTTTTCAAGACAGGGTTTCTCTATGTAGTCCTGGTTGTCCTGGAAATTGTTCTGTAGACCAGGCTGACCTCCAACTCATAGAAATCCACCTGCCTCTGCCTCCTGAGTGCTGGGATTAAAAATGTATGCCACCACTGCTCAGTTTCTCAGCTTAAGTTTTTAAAATTGCTTTTTTCCGTGTGGGGGTGGCGGCTCACATGTGCAGTGTGAAGTGTACATGTGAAGGTCAGTGTTAGCCTTTAGGCATCTGTACAGGCCTGCCCTTAGGGTCCTGACAGGATACATCCTGAGCTGCAGCCACTAAGAGCACCTTTCCTTATAAAAGTCTCTTTCTCCTCCTGCGTTCTCGCCCCCGGGGACCGGTCTCTGCCCCCTTCTCTGCCCCTTCTCTCCCCTCCCCTCAATAAACCCCCCACGGGGGGGGGGGGGGCCTGTTGTATGGTGTGACTCTTTTCCACCGTTTGTAAAATACAACAGCCAGGGGACAACTTTCTGGAGCCCATTCTTCCTTTCCCCATGTAGGCCTCAGGGATTGAACTCAGGCTGAGGGCAGGTGACCCACTGAGCCATCTCAAGGACCCCTCATCAACATTTCATCCAAAGGTTTTTGAACTCCTAATGATTTGCCACATCAACTATTTTTGTTTATTGTATCAAGGTTTGAACCTCATGAGTGCTGGGCAAACTCTCTAGTCCTGAACTGTATCACCAGCCTTTAAAAAAAAAAAAAATGACTTGCCAGGCATGGTGGCGCATGCCTTTAACACCAGCCCTTGGGTTAAAGGCAAAGGCAGGCAGATCTCTGAGTTCAAGGCCAGCCTGGTCTATATAGTTAAAAAAATGATTTAAGACAATAGTTTCTTGTTTTTGTTTTTGTTGGTTCTTCAAAACAGGGTTTCTCTGTGTAACAGCCCTGGCTGTCGTGGAACTCACTTTGTAGACTAGGCTGGCTTTGAACTCACAGAGATCCACCTGCCTCTGCCTCCCAAATGCTGAGATTAAAGGCTTGCACTACCACACCTAGAAAGACAACAGTTTTAATAAATTGTGTAAGCTAGCCTGAACTCACTAAGTAGCCCAGGCTAACCTCAAACTCACGGCCATCCTCCTGCCTCGACCTCTTAAGTACTGAGATTAGAGATATGAGCCACTTGCCTGGCTGCTGTGAAAGAATCATTTTGTACACTGTAAGGACTTGTCACTCGAATTGGTTTAATAAAATCCTGACTGGCTGGTCAGGATGCTGAGATGAAGAAGGGTGGAGCTGGGGGAGATGCCAGAAGACACAGGAAACAGGACACGTAGAAAATGAGGTAACAAGCCCATGAGCCACATGGCAGAGGGTAGATAAGAAATATGGTTAATTTAATGTGTAAGAGTTAGCTAGTAACAAGCCTGAGCTATCGACCGAGGATTTACAATTAATATTAAGTCTCTGTGTCGGTTATTTGGGAACTGCTGGGCGGGAAAGAAATGTCTGCCTATACCTGGCTAAAAGGCTACAGAGATGTTAGGTTGGATACCAGCTATTTCTTTTTAGTGCTGGAGCCTGAAGCCATTCTGAGCAAATGCTACTTAGTGAGCTACATGTCTAATTCCCCAAAGAAGCCCATGAACCTGCTCAAAATTCTCCTGCCTCAGCAGCTGGAACAACAGGTTTGCACCATTGGGCCTGCTCTTCACCTCGGATCTAGTTAGCAGTTACACAATGTCTCCTCTGTCCTTTTTGATGTCTCCTGTATCCCACTTGCTGTGTGTGGCCAAGGCTGGACTTGAACCCCTAATCCTCTGCCTTCATTTCCCAAGTGCTGGGATCCAGGTGTGCACCACAATGCCTGGCTCTAGTCTAGCAATACTTACCTATCAACTAGTTGCAATTTCTGTAATAAAAAAAAAAAAGTTTCACATTATTGACTATGACTTTGTTTTGTTTGTTTGTTTGTTTTTTGTTTTTGATACAGTATCTTTCTATGTAGCCCTGGCTGTCCTAGGACTCATTATGTAGACCAGGTTGACCTTGAACTCATAGAAACCTTCCTGACTCTACCTCCTGAGTGCTGGGATTAATGATGTGTGCAATCATACCCAGCTGACTTTTGAAATTATTTTTTGAAATAAAGTACTACTTCCTGCTTTAGTTCTCCTGTGCTTCAGTAAAAGATGTGCACACTTCACCTGGCCCATGTTTGTTTATTTTTTTCAGTTCTGGAAATCAAACCTAGGGCCTTGTATATGGCAGGTAAGCACTCCACCACTGAGCTGTAATTCTATCTCAAGGATCCTTCCTTTACTGATTCTCTCTCTCTCTCTCTCTCTCTCTCCCTCCCTCCCTCCCTCTCTCTCAACAAGGTTTCTGTGTAGCCCAGACTGTCCTGGAACTTGATCTGTAGACCAGGCTAACCTCAAACTCACATAGATCCACCTGCGTCTGGCCTCCTAAGTACTGGGATTAAAGGTGTGTGGCACCATGCCTGGTGCTTTTACCAATTTTCAGACTAAGATTCTGGTGCAGTAATTGTGTCTGATAGTTACAAACTATATTGGTCTGCCAATATAAGGCAGTGTTGTTGTTTTTTCCCTCGTCATTATGGACTCATGTATTGTTAAAAAGTTTTTCTTCCTAAAATTTCTTTTATGTGTATGGATGTATGTTTGAACCTACATGTATGTTTGTACACAACATTCGTACAAAGCCCTTGGAGGTCAGAAGACACGGATCCCCTGGAAATGGAGTTACAGTCATGAGCTACCACGGGGTGCTGGGAATCAAGCCTAGGTCCTCTCATAGAGTAGTCAGTGAGTGCTCTAACTGCTCAGCTTTCTCTCCCGGCTCAGATTTTTAGTTAATGAATTAGTGACAGTGTCTCAGGTGACAGTGGCAGGCCTGGGATGTGGCCATGGATGATCTTAAAATACTGAAATTCCTGACTTCACTTCTGAGCACCAAGGGCCAGCTGCGTCTGACACCTGTAAACCATCCCATCTGGGAATGCTGAGAAGCAGAATCAAATCTGAGGCCAGCCTGGCCTTTACAGCCAGCTCCAGGTGAGCCAGAGCTACATAGTGAGCCCTAGCTCAAAGAAGAGCAAATGCAAACAGCCACTGCGGTCCTTACCCTCCCCCCCCCCCCAGCCACTGAAGAGTCTGCATCGGGGCTACACAGTTCCTATCCTTGAGAAACTCCGGCTGACACTAGGCATGGTGGCCCACACCTGTAAGCCCAGTCCTCTGGAGCCTGAGCCAGGAGGACTGAATGAGTTCCAGGAGGCCAAACTGGGCTACATAATGAGTTCCAGGCCAGCCCAGGCTACACAGACCCAGTCTCAAATGAGAACAAAACCAACCCAAACAGCTCAGGCTGGTCAGAGGGACAAATGATTGACAAAATTCCACTGCCCCAAGGGCAAAGGCAGAAATACCCAGGACACAGGAGGGGTGGCGCCTGGGGAACAAGCTGATATGGACACATCTGAGAATTTTTCATGGGATTTCTTTTCTCTCTTTCAAAAAAAAAAAAAGGCCAGTATCTCACTCTTAACAGTCCAGGCTGGTAATCCATGAGCCATGAGCCAGGCTCCTGAACCTTAGGATTACAGGGGTGAGGCACAACCTTCTTCCTTAGTCCTGAGCTTTTTCTGATGCCCCAAATGATCTCCCTCCGGGTAGTGAGGTGAGCTGGCTTCTTTTGACAGCTTCCTTACACTGTGAGATGCTCCAGGCTCTCCCTGCCCTGACCACACAGTGAGCCTTTTAGGAGGAGACGACCCAGCCTACTCCCATCTTGGGTGACTATCGGTTTTACCTTAGGACTGAATAGACACATTTCTTAATTCTGGAGTCCAGGTCAAAAATCCAGGTGCTGGCAGGCTCAGTTCCCAGGGAGGGGGTCTCCTGGCTTGTAAGCAGCCACCTATCCACCGCACCCTCAAATGGCCCTTCTGGACGCATGTACAGAGAGGGATAGCTTCAGACATGATGTGTGGGGGGATGTGAATATTCAGTTTGCAGTACCCAACCTCTCGCTAAGGAGGTGTTCAGGCTTGGACTCTTCTGTGGTTGATATACTGTGTACCCCAATAAACTTACCTGAGGGTCAGAGAACAGAACAGCCACTATATTAAACATAGAGGTTGGGCAGTGGTAGCACAACCCTTTAATCCTAGCATTCCAGAGGCAGAGATCTATCCGGATCTCTGTGAGTTCAAGGCATGGTGACACCCGCCTTTAATCCCAGCACTTGAGATCTCATGTCTTGCTTGGCCTTCCCAGAAAGTGATGGCAGAAGCAGAAAGGTATACAAGGCCTGAGGTCCAGGAACTTGAGCCTGGTTAAGCTTTGAGGTTTTGAGCAGCAGTTCAGCTGAGATTCATTCAGGCGAGGACTCAGAGGCTTCCAGTCTGAGGAAACAGGATCAGCTGAGAAGTTGGCGAGGTGAAGAAGCTGTGGCTTGTTCTGTTTCTCTGATTTTTCAGCGTTCACCCCAATACCTGGCTCCAGGTTTGTTTTTATTAATAGGACCGTCCAAGATTCGCGCTACACTCTCTTCCTAGCCATGTCAGCAAGGAAAAGCTCTTTCTCCTCTCTGCCCCGGGCACCAGGACGAATGCCGCTCACTTGCTGCGTGCCTGAAGACAAGGACTTCACAGGGAGGACAGGGCCAAGAGCATCACAAGACGGAGCTAGTGCCCAACTTGCCAATCCACAGACACGCTGTTCATTCTGGTCCTCAGTCCCAGTGTTGAGAAAATAAGTGATGGGCAGGAGGTTAGAACGTCACCTGGTCTCTCTTACTTGGGCTGGGATTTAGCTCAGCTGGTAAAGAGCTTGCCTGGCATGCATGAAGCCCTGGGCTTGTTCCCAGCACCACACAAACCAGGCATGGTGGTGCGTGATTGTAATCTCAAGAAGTAGAGGCAGGAGGATTAAAAGTTTAAGATCACCCTCAACTAGATACCAAGTTGGAGTCCAACTTGGCCTCAGGACTTCTGTCAATAACAACAGAAGCAAAACCCACACACATGGCTGTACATGAGTTTATTCTTTCTTCCTGTAAAAATGGTTGACAAGCACTTTCTTTCAAGGGACAGAAGGGACTTCTGGGGAAGATCCCCAGGAGCCCTACATAGAAAGTCAGGCAGCCAGAGACCCAAGAGAACAGGGCCACCCTTGGAAGGGAAGTGTGGATGGAGGGGAGCAACTCAGTCCAGGCAGGGCAGCTCCACAGAGGCTGGGAACATCCTTCTCAGCCCAAAGCCGTCATCAGGGTCTGGGCCTGCTTCAGTTCTGCAGGGGACAAGGCAGGTGCATGGGGAGTGATAAGGAGCAGAAGCCAGTTCCAAGGCCAGCCTGGCCTTTATAGCCAGTTCCAAGTCGGCCAGACCCAGGAGGGCCCCCACCCTCTGTGCAGCCTCACCTGCCAGGAGAACCTGGAACTTGTCTGCTGAGAGGGACATGGAAACAGGTTGGGCCAGGGCACCCGGGGCAGGCACCACCTCTAGCCGCAGGTGCACCATGGGCTCCTCCACAGAACGGAGCAGGCTGGAGCTCAGGGTGTAGTCCACCCGCCAGGCCACACTGGCCAGCCTGTTCACTGCAGGCGAGAAATTAGGCAGCTATCAACCAGGCAAGCCAGCAAGTCCTCACTCCACAATGGGGCTCATCCCACAACCCTTCAAGGCCCTTCAACCCAGGCCTGTTGAAGGACAGGTACTCCAATATCTACCATGGGCCTCCTTGGCCAGTTCTAAACTCCTCAACTGCTCTGAGTGTAATTGTGGTTAAAGCTTCTCCTAGAGCAATGGCATCTGGCTTGTGTTCATACCTCCTGGAGTACAGCCCCCCCCC